GGGGAAAACCCCGGGACGTGGTGGGGGGGGGGGGAGCCTTTCGAAATCAACGATGCTGTGCCGCTGCCTTTTTAGATTGACTCAAGTTATTCGTTTGTAATAGTTCTTTATTCGGCCGATTTACCTTGTTTCCCAACCCATTGGAAAGCAGCGCTTGTTTTATGGCCCCAACTCTGCCATCCATCATATCAGAAGGAGCAATTATGTGACAACCTGCAGGAAAACGCGAATAACCGACTTTAATATCAATTTCAAACTGAAACGAAAAAAAAAAAAATCTGACATTGTATTTCTCACAATGCTGCCCAGTCTATGTGCATTTTCCTGAAAATCTGAATTATCAATGCTCTCATAACTGTTAATTTTCAATCAAGTCAGAGGCCTTATGATATACACTTAATATTTATCTTTCAACAAATATCCCAAAATGGCATTAGAGAGACATTTAGAAGTGTTTTTGTTTTTTTTTGTGTGTGTGTGCACCTCAAGCATATGATAACAGAAACTTTCAAAGCTTGGGGGTGGGGGCGGCAGCGTTTACCAGCTTTGGCATAGGCTAGTGCTACTTCTGCCAGTCTCAAACAGCTAGCATCGATGTTCAGCGAACCATCTTCATTCAGGATACCTGGAAGGCAAATTTAAATACGTGGAGATTGTCAGTACATCTTACTGGGTACCGCATTGAGTCGCTAAGAACAAGCCGGCAGCCACCGGTTGAAAGCAGCATGGACTTGTCTCAACCGGTCCGTGACACAAAAAAAGGTTAGGGACCGCTGAACCAAATCACCAGAATTGCGAAACGTGGCCTTCCTCATATTTCACAGAAGTGATGTAACTCATCAAAAAAAGCTCCAGCTTCCAAAGGGCATTCTCCCAGTAACGCTGCGTCTTGTCAGTATGCACTTTGGCAAATTCCGGACTCATCTAGAGACCACTGTGTGTATTTCTTTCGTTACTAAATGGATAGCAGCAATTCTCTCCATGGATTATATGTACCGCATGAGGCTGAGGAAGGTCTATCATCAAAAAGAGACACTGACCACAATGGCCATGCGACGTGTAGGGACACAAGCAGACGTCGCATGCCACCAGCAGGTCAGGGAATAAGGATCTGATCTTCTTCACGGCCATCACGGCGGGCGTGTCGTCTGTGTCGGCCCCTGACCCTCGGTCGTCCTAAGGCACAAAAGATCAGCATGTCTGCATACGGTCTGACTTATCTTCATCTGCAGGAGGTCCGTTTTATACTGCGACTTCCACCATATATTATCCATTCATTTTACGTGTTACACTGTAGATGAACCCCCCTCACGAATATTAAACTCTTGCAAAAGTTCTCATCATTGCAGTTAATGGCCAGATGAATCAACAGCTTCACAAAAATTATCCAATTCACGTTAGTGCCAATTCCTTCCAAGCACAGTGACACTTTCAGTTGTCCTTGCCCTCTTTTTAGATTCACCGCACATACCTTTGCTATATTCGCGGGCACCCCAAAGATCAGCACACATTTCAAACCATTCTCGACAAGTGGCTGCAACATTCCTTCCAGTTTGTTCACCCCACATCTATGAAAGGGAATACATTTCAAATATATACTTTACAAATGATGCAGCATGATTGATTACACCCCTTCTAATACTGATTTCACGAACAAAGAAAAAGGGCATTATCAGACTGATGCGATCGTGATCGCGAATGGTTATTCATCTAGGTGTGCCCTGCGATTGGCTGGCAACCAGTTCAGTGTGTGCATTTGGACATAAAAATAGTAGAAAACCAAACAAACCAAATGGGTCAGTTAAACGATATGTTGCAACTGACATTGACTTAAGGCTGGGCTTCAAGAGTAAGAAAAAAAAAACCCAAAACAATTAGAAATGATATATTGTTATGGAGTTTACCACAAAGTTTCACACTGGCAATGTCACAAATTTGAGTGTAACGCATGCTCAGCTTATCTGTGTCCTGAAACAGTATTTGGTGCTCGATCCACCCTGACTTTTTTTTTATCTCAGGACAACACCCTTCACATCAGTTGGCGCTTTGCACAAATGTTGCCCCTGTGAGCATTGATGGGAAGTGCACTTTAGTCAGGAAACAATTACTACCCGGATTGTTATAATACCCCCCCCAACTCCACCCCCATTACCTGTCTTGTCCAGGTAGGCTCTTAATAGGCTCCACAGCATCAACATTGTCTCTATAGGAGTAGCAAGAAAGATGGAGTAAGACCAGGAGAAATATTTTTCATGCATTCATGTAGTTGTAGCAAATTCAAAATTCAAGTCACACACAAATTTGCCAGAATTTAGTTGAGGGAAAATTTCTGCCACTTACGTGATGAAAATTGGGTAAATGAGGTTCTCTGTTTTTATATCTGTGGCACAGGTCTGCCAGTATCTGAGTGTTGGGTGAAAGTAGCCACTGTGAATAATGGACTGTACTGGCGTCTGCATCTT